TTTTAAATACTTGAAGTCTGTTGCTATCTTCTTTTTTTTAACTGTCATTAGATTATCAGGGATGATTTCACTGTTTGCTTCTCTCTTTATATGACCAAAAGAAATTTGCTTAAAGAGAAGGTTGAGTTCTGGGAAGGGGTGAAATATAAATTGTGAGCGTTATTATTGTTATTTGGCAAGTGTGGAAGAACATCAGATAAAAAATGTTCCCTGAAAAGCATGGCTCTTCAAATGCTGTCATTTTCTAAATATGATATGTAACAACGTAAAAATCGGGACGGATTTCTATGCCACATGTTCGTGCAGCCAGGGGCGTCGCCAAGGGGGGGGGGGGGGATGTGGGGGTGCGACACCCCCATCTGTCAGGATATTGTCGGTAAAATTGCGCTGCCGTCGGGAAAAAAAAAGGGGGGGAGGGAAAGAAAAGAAAAAAAGAAAAGAAAAAGAAAAGAAAGAAAGAAAAAGAAAGGAAAGAAAAGAAAAGAAAGGAAAGAAAAGAAAGGAAAGAAAAGAGAAGAAAGAAAGAGAGAAAAAAAAAGAGGGAGGAAAGGAAAGAATGAAAGGAAAAGAAAGAAAAGAAAGAAAAGGAAAAAAAAGAGAAAAAAGAGAAAAGGGAAACAAAAGAAACGGGGGATGAAAGTAAGAGCCTGAGATAAAAGGAGTGAGAATAAAAGAGAGAGAGAGAGAGAGAGAGAGAGAGAGGGGGGGGGGTTGGATGGAGTCGTCTCGTCGAGGGAGCAATAAAGACACGGGTAAACATATTGCTGTGTCGGGTCAGCTGTGTCGGTATTATTGCTCGATCCTCGTTTACCATATCATCAATGCAGAACTTTGAAGTCGGTGTCATGTATATTGTCGGTCGGCCGACAAGTTTTCCTTTCCCTACGAACTGTGACTTTTTTATCAGATGTGACGACTTCGAGAGTGACCACAATACTTGTATTTTCTCAAAGTTTCACTTTCCTATAATATGAGCTAAAGAAATCAGAGGTTTAAAATTTTTGGGGAAACTAAATTCAAACAAGCATTAGGAGTCAACAACGGTACGACGAATCGTCTTCCTTTCTCGTTGATGAAACGCCAAAAATTCCGCGCTTTGCGCGGGAGGGGAAAAATTCATTTAGAAGAGTCGCGAACGGTACAACGAATCGTCTGCTTTCTCTAATAATTTAAGGAAACGTCAAAGCCTATGCGCTTCACGCTAGAGGGGGAAACTGAATTCAGACAAGGATTAAGAGTCGAAAACGGTACAACGGATCGTTTGCTTTCTCTAATAATTTAAGGAAACGTCTAAGCTTTTCGCGCTTCGCGCAGGAAGGGGGAAACTGAATTCAGACAAGGATTAAGAGTCGAGAACAGTACACCCAATTGCTGCTTTCTCTAATAATTTAAGGAAACGTCAAGGTTTTCGCGCTTCGCGCGAGAGGGGGAAACTGAATTCAGATAAATAGGGCTTTAAGAGTCGAAAACGGTGCAATGAAGCGTCTTCTTTATATAATAATTTAATGAAACGTCAAAACTTCTGCGCTTTGCGTGGGGGGGGGGGGGGGAATCGAATTCAGACAAGGATTATGGGTCGAGCACGGTTAAACGAATCGTCTACTTTCTCTTATAATTTTATGAAATGTCAAAGCTTCCGTGCTTCGCGCTAAAGGGGTAAACTGAATTCAGAAATTAAGGTTTATTAAGAGTGGAAAACGGTACAACGAATCGTCTTTTTTCTCTAATAATTTAGTGAAACGTCAAAACTTCCGCGCGTCTGCTTTTTCTCATAATTTAATGAAACGCCAAGGCTTTCGCGCTTTGCGCGGGAAGGGGGGGGGGGGAAAACTTCATTCAGACAAGGATTAACAGTCGAGAACGGTACAGCAATTCGTCTTCTTTTAATAATAATTTAATGAAACGCCAAAGCTTTCGCGTTTTGCGCGGAGTGGGGGGGGGGGGCTTCATTCAGACAAGGATTAACAGTCGAGAACGGTACAATAAATCGTCTTCTTTTCTAATAATTTAAGGAAACGTCGAAGCCTCCGCGCTTCGCGCGGGTGGCCTATCACCCACACCTCCTAATAAGCACGCTTCGCGCGCTCTTTAAGTGATTCGCTTGCTCACTACCGCCCCTCCCTAAAATAAGATCCTAGTTCCGCGCCTGCATTAAAGGCACAGTGTTCTACTTCCTACTCTATATAGAAAACTTCCCCAATCGGTGCCTGTTGGTCTTCCATGATCCTCTTTTTTATGTTAAATGAGAGCCGAATTAATGAGATAGCCACCTGTCACAGTGACCTCGCTGGCTCGCTTGGTGGCCTCTACACCCCCCCCCCACTGAAAAAGGTCTAGCGACGCCCTTGCGTGTAGCCCGATATACATCTTTCTGTATACAGTGCTTGTAACTTTACCCAGACTAGGGCAAATTTCGTATCAATGTGATGATTCTAGAAGCTTGCAGTACACACCAATACTAATATGCTAGATGATCAACCTTTTCTGATCGATTCCACACTGTTTCTTTCACAATGCTATTGCATTACCAAAACTCAACTTTATCTTTAAACATCATACATTGTAGTCGGGTGTGATGGTCTGACATTTTTTTTGCGAGCGAGTGGTGCGAGCTAGACAATGTCTAAGATTTGTGAGGTCGCAGTGCGAAAAAATTACATCTTATAAAGAGGGAAAACAAATCGTAAAAAGACTGAAAAAATCTTAAATAAGAAACATAATTATATTTAATTTAAATGCGAGCGAGCATAGCGAGTATGTTTCAGGTGAAATTGAAGAAAAAATTTGCTGTTAGTTGTTTTACATTAGGGGCACATTTATGGTTAATGAAAAAGGATGCACATGTCCAGAGCTAAAAGGTCGGTTATTATATTAAAAGAAAAATAGCACGTGTCGAAGTAAAAATCGTAATTATCAGAGGTGAAAATGGGGCTATACTCGCACTTGATATGGGGCAGTCACCAGGAAAATCGCACTAATTAGAAAAGATAGGGGCGCGTGTCAAAATAAAAGGGGCACCTATCAAAGGCAAAAGGGGTAGGCTACCTGTTACAAAATTAAAGGGGCCCCTCTCAAATCTCAAATAGGGCAATCACTGGAGATAAAAAGAGGCACTTAAAACTGTCAAAATAAATGGGACCCCTCTCAGATTTGAAAAGACGCAATTATCCAAGGTGAAAAAGCACTTATCAGTGGTAAGGGGCAGTCTTGTACCTGAAAACGGGCACTTATTACAAAGGAAAATAGGCACTTGTCCAATGTAAAGGGGCACCTATGATATTTTAATAGATGTATCTATCAAAAATGTGAGAAAGGGCAGTTATGGGAAAGGGACGTGGCTCTTATTAAAAAAAAAAAAAGAAGTTATATAGCAAGGAAAAACGGCATTTATTAGAAAGACAAGGGGGCACGTGTTAAAAAAGAGTGGGCACTGATGAGAGGTGAGAAGAGGCATTCATCAAAGATAAAAAGGGGCACTTATCACAAGAGGAAGGGGCACTTATTACAAGATAAAATGGTTTTTGTAAGAGTAAAATGGGCATCTATCAGATTTGAACAGGAGCAATTATCACCGGTGAAGGGGGCACTTATCACAGGTGGTAAGAGACACTTAGAGAATATAGAACGGGCACCTATTAGAAAAAAATAATGGGCACTTTAATATCTGAATTGAAAGCGCGCAATTTTCCTATGTAAAAGGGGGCACTTTAGGGGTACTATAAAAAGTGTGGGGGCAATGTGCCCCCCTGCCCCCCCGCTCCACCGCCTCTTTACTACATCATCACATGTTGTCGTGAACTGCACATAATAAATGGATCCAATAGCAAAATTTATTTATATTTGTTTAGAAATATCGTTGGTCACGTACTGCACCCGAACGGTAGAGTGACATAACTGAAAGGCGTTTTCTGTTTTTGTTTTTGTTTATAATAATAATAATAATAATGATAATAAAATGGTTCTTTTGAAGCGATTGCCACCGAAGTCTATAAGCGCGTTAGTCAAAGCCAACTGAAGCCATAGAACTTGAATAAATCTTATTTAGTTATTAATTGGAAGCTAATGTATAAACCTATCTACAAAAACCTATTCTCTAAACATTCGTACATTACGTTTTCCATAGGATTGCCTTAATTCAAAAGACTGACTGAAAAGCCACTGTAATTGTTTCTTATTCCCTACGCAGTGTGTTAAGATGATAAATAAAAAGGGGCACTTATCTGAATTAAAAGGTGGCACCTTTCCTATGTAAAAGAAGCACTTTAGGGGGTACTTGAAAAAAGGTCGGGGGGGGGGGGGCATTGTGACATACGACCTGGCCTCGCCGCCTCTGTACTTCAGCAGCGCATGTTGTCGTAAACTGCATAACATAGAGCGAAATGGAGCAAAAGCTAAATTGTATTTCTTTAGAAATATCGTTGGACACGTACTGCACGCAAACGCTAGAGTGATTTAACTGAATGGCATTTTCTGTTTTTCGTTACTCCAAGCCAATCATTTGAACCTGAAGGGGTCAGTTACATTGTGACCCACGCCCCCGGCCTCGTCGCCTCTGTAGTACAGCAGCGCATGTTGTCGTGAGCTGAATATTAGGGACTTTTAGATTCTGCACGACGAGAACGTGGACTGTCCTTTTAAGGCAACGTGACGTCCTTTTAATAAGGCACTGGCAGTGACGTCACATTGCCTTAAAAGGGCAGTCCGCGTTCTCGTCGTGCAGAATCTAAAAGTCCCTTATATAGAGCGAAATGGAGCAATAGCCGATTTAAATATATTTGTTTAGAAATATCGTTGGTCACGTACTGAACGCGAACGGTAGAGTGACTTAACTGAAAGGCCTTTTCTGGTTTTCGTTAGACCAAGCCAAGCCCTAGAAATTGAAGAAGCCAGTTATCAATTGGAAGCTTAGTACGTACAGTATAAACCTATCGACAGAAAAAAAAAATCATCTAACATACGGACACTATGCGTTTTCCATAGCATCGTCTTAATTTATACAACTTATCTAACGAGCCCAACGATCGAACAGGAACAGTCAAATGATTCGGCTGATGATCGCCTCGCTCATCTGTGTTATTCTGATCAGCCCGAACCATACAGGTGAGTACATTTGTCCTGACATTATTATACAAGTCAGGTATGAGAAAAGTATTTTTAACAATTTATTAAAAGTATCGTGTAAAACGCGACAACATATGAAACCTCTGCCTCGAATTCATGCGATTAAGTGGTTTATTTATCTTTATTGGAAATTTACAGAGCTTGTTGGAAATTTCGCGCTGTAGTTTTGTATCCCGTCTGTATTACGTGAACAAAAAAAGAAGCGGGTAGCCTATTTCCTTTAGACGGCTTTCTTACTGAAACATTTTTTCGATTGAAAATCTTCTTTCCACTAGATAAGGATAATTTGTCTTACTATTAAACAGCAGGACATATCTTCAAACATGCAAAAGGCTATACCCGCGAAGCACCAATAATTAATGGGACAACGATTTCATCAAATAAGAGAGAAGAAATTTAAATAGGCAGTTTTTAAAGCTTTTAACTCCCGTTGTGCTTACAAAATGACATGCTTGTGACAAATATAGTAAGTCCGAGCGCATGTTAAGAACATAATAAAACGGGGCTAATCTATACACAAGAACATAATGATATGTCGCTATTTAAATGAGGTAATCTAAAGTTCTTTGGTGTAATTCATCCATTATAATTGTCGATAAATCCTATATTCCGTCTAAAAGGTCCATTTCGAACTTTTACTAACACATTAACATTCCAATAATACATGTATATTAAATTAAAGAAGATCGAGAACAATAAGGAGAAATAGAACAAAAACAACGACAAATAATAATGATATTAATTAGAAGAATAATTACAATAATACTAAAAATGATGATGAAAATGATAAGTATACTGATAATAATATTAAGCTTCTGACTATGCCCTTTTTAAAGGTTAATATTGTTTCGTATTTGTAATATCTATTTATTTGTTCGTTTATTAATTTGTTTTAATTGTTGTTTTACTTGTTCATCATTGTTTTTGCTTATTGTAGTACATCACTACATTTGTGCTTTTTCCAGTCGGAGTTTTTTGTCAATGCAAAATCCGATAAAGAACATGACTTTGTTTTGGAGGAGAACTTAGGTTCAAGAGACCTTCCTATACCATTTATACTTCATGTTGGGATGCTGTGTGAGCATGTGTATAATTTCAAAGTGAAATTTACTTGCCAAAGCACTGTTCTGAGTCATGTAAGTATTTTTAAAAAGATTGATACGTGAGTAAAGAGACCCTTATTCTACTAAAATTTGCTTGAGGGTCAAACATTGAAAAAAAAGGCATTTGTGTGAGTTCTAGTTTTTCCTTTTGTTATTGGTGATTTCAGACCCAGGCCAAGGTCTAATTCATATAAGTTACGATAGAACTTACCGACAAGGGTCAGCTTCCATTCCCTATTCAGACAACGTTTACTTTTCATACGCAGGAGGTTGATTATAACACATCTTGTATAATTTGGTCCATATACACAAGAAGTTTTTACCATTATTATTATTATTATTACTATTATGATTATTATTTCATCATGGTTATTGATATTATTACGATTGTTATTATCATTATTATTATCAGTGGCGGATCCAAGGGGGGGGGGGGGGGACGGAGGCCCGGCCCCCTAGAAAAAAAACGTGTAAACGTTAATTTTACCTTTTTTTATGGAGTTGCCCCCCCTAGCGCTCAAGGGGGGGGGGGGTGCGTTTTTTAAAAAATTTCGAAGCCCCCCGAACAAAACCCCCCCCCAAAACAGCGAATTATCGGCCGGCGCGATTTTCAAATTTTCGGGAGCAAAAAAAAATAAAAAAATAGTGCTCACTACTTCCCGCCCCCCCCCCCCACTCAGCGAAATATTGGCCGACGCGATTTTCAAATTTCAGCACACTAAATTTCAAATTTATTTTAATTTGGGCCCCCTAACAAATCCTGGATCCACGCCTGATTTTTATTATAATCATTATCTTCTTTATAATTGTTATTGTTATCATTGTTGTTATCATTCTCATTACTACTATGATTATTATCATTTTTATTATCATTATTATAACCATCGAAATGAATCACCATTTTCCCGAAAACGACCTGAAGTGACTATTTATATTATATAAATAATATATCATAAATCACATTCCAAGGAATTATGAAATCCGTAAAAGTGCTACAAATCATTTGAGAAGTTTTATATTTGAGATATTTACTACAGTGACCGCCATTTAGAAATCCTAGATGGCCACTGAGACCTATACATTATACCTCCTTGAGATGCAGTTTTAATGTCTATACCTAGCCAGGAAAACCATTTATACCTTGAAATCTTAGATCGCATATCTTATTATATTCGAATTTAAGTCACTGTTTAGAATTAAAAGTAGTTACGTGTATAAGTATATTTGAGGTTAGATATTCATATATGCACAAACAAGTATCATTTATTTTTACTTTATATACAAGATAATATCGAAACATGGCTGCCATTTTGCCATCCCAGATAGCCGTCAGCACCTGAAATTGGCCGCAAATCATTAAATATCCATCTCATTTATAGGGCTAATTTATTTTTAGGAAATTCATTCAAGTCAGTTAAAAAGTGTTCTGATGGTCAGGAATCCAAGAAAACCAAGATGTGCCCAAAGGGCACACCAGCTTCAAATTACTGTAGGTGAGTTATTTTCAAATTTCTGATGTTTTTTTTTGTCAAGTGAAAGTGTATTTGTAAGTGTTATCCAGACCTTTAATTGCCTGTAATGCTATCAACACAATTTAGCCAAAGTTGTTAAAGCCTTATTCTCAAAACAGGGCATAAATACCTGAAATGAAATATAACTCAAAACTGTTCTGTGAATTCATGTTTTTCTTGCATCAGTAGCCTAGATTCATTAATACAATTTTTTAAATCATTTACAACCTACGCGATAAAGTACTATTTAGGAGAATCGTATGTTCCTTATAAAATGTGCGAGATTTATTCTAATGAATTTCATCCAGTTTTCAACTTTTGTCACATTATCATGAAACCTCTGCAGTGATACGGACTAGAACATAATTTTGATTACTTTTCGTGCAATTTGAATTTTAAGGACCGGTTATGTGCTGCCATTCGGCTATGAGTCTTAGTTGTAGGGCGTGTACGGTTATATTGTGCGTGTGTGTAAGAGGTGTGTATAGGGGTGTGTCACGTGTATTTGTGTATGTGTGTTGATGCGTGACAGCTGGAGAGGTGTTCTGGCGTGGAATATGGACCTAACTAATGCCTAGGTCACATATAAACCGGGCCCCGTACGATTTTCCCTACCCGGCGGCTTGCCGTAGATTTAGAGACCGTACAGGAACCGTCCGATTTTCATTTCTACGGCATGTGTGGTCACATATTATGCGGCGCCCGGGAGGTGCCCGGAGAAAATTGGTTGAGTGAAATGCAAGGCGCCCGTAAGGGTGCCGGCAGGGAGCCGGCAAGGTGCCGGCAGGGTGCCGACCGGTAACCTTACGGGCTCCGTCCGATGAGCAGGTGTACCGATGGCTCCCGGAAGGTGCCCTGCCGGGGCCCGGCCGGGGTCCTCAAGGCGCTAGGCCGGGTGCCGTGCGGTGCACTGAACTACAGAGTGAGTCAGAAGAAATGTCCCACTTTTTAAAAGTTGTATTGTCTGAATCATGAATATTTAATCATGGGTTTCATGATATATATTGATAGAGTTATCCTCCCAGTACATTTAGGTACCATTTTCATTTGAATCCCTGCATGCATCACTCACTATCAGACACTGCCAGATCTCACTTGCGCCAAGTTACTTGGTGAGGAATAAAACAATGCATTGGACAAAGACAGTCAGACACGTGCACACACCCACACACGCACACACACAACACACACAACACACACAACACACACAACACACACGGTGACAATTATTTAATAATTGCCCCTTTTCTGATTGAGCATTGATTTTTTATCAAGATCGCTGAATGTTTAAGTGGCATAACCCTAAAGTAAAAATCTTTCCCTTTAAAACACATTCACTACCACGATCATGTCATCATTGTCATCATCTTAATCTTCATCATCATCTTCATTATCATCATCATCATCTAGCACAACATCCGCCAATACGCACCAAGAGGACAGCGGCCACCCGACTTTTCGTACGATAAGAAGAATTCCCGACAAAAAGTAACAGTTTTGGTGGGCCTTGTCGGGAATGGAATGCTCATTTGTGGGTGTGTGCCTGTGCATGTTCGTATATATATATATATATATATATATATGTGTGTGTGTGTGTGTGTGTGTGTGTGTGTGTGTGTGTGTGGTGTGTGGGTGTATGTGTGTTTGTGTGCGTGTGCGTGTATTTGTGTGTTTTTGTCTGTCTGGCTGATTGGATAATTTGTTCAAAACATTATTTTGTTTCTCACCTAGCAAATTGGCACAAGTGAGATCTGTCAGTCTTGTAAAGATTGTCTGATGTTCAGTCATGCATGCAGAGATTCAAATGAAAATGGTACCTAAATGTACTGGGAGGATAACTCTATCAAGACATATATCATAAAACTCATCATTAAATATTCATACTTCAAACAATACAACTTTTAAAAAGTGGGACATTTTTTCTGACTCTCTCTGTATGTGTCCTGTGGTATCCGCACCTCCTGTATTTAAATCTGCGTTGGACATTTCGAGATGCCGCCGTGAGGGACCCGCACGGGCAATATTCATTTTAAATGGCCCCCGGACGGCAGACGCCTGTTGTTGTGCATATCACCCGGGGCTCTTGAGGGGCCGTGAGGGCGCCGTAGCGTACACGTACGGAACCCTTGAGCACCGCAAGGCGCCCGTAAATATTTTTTATTAAAATTGAAGAAAACATTCGTAAGGGGCCCGTCCGGAGCCCGCACGGGACCCGTAAGGTGCCTCACGGGCCCTTTACGGGGTTCCTACGGGCTAACGGTCAGTCAAAAACGCCAGGAGAATTGGGAGCAGCCAACTCAGCACCACGGGGCCCGTAAGGCTTAGAAAACCGGCCGGACACCGGCCGGAAATTCCCAAAATGTCT